CTGCTACTTATTTACTGCTCCTATTACGATTACTCCTACTATGGTCTTGCAGTCTTAGTACATGTATGGCTATTGCTGGTTCTTCTAAACCCCTAAACTCTAAACCCTAAACCCTAAACCCTAAACCCTAAATCTTCTAAACCCCCAGGCTTCATACCGCCGCCTGATCCCCTCGTGAAGCACGCCGAGCTGTCAGCCAACATCGTTTCCATGCAGGACGGTCTAGGGGTTTAGGGCGTAGGGTTTAGGGTTTTAGGGTTTAGGGTTTTAGGGTTTAGGGTTTGGGGTTTAAGGCTTAAGGTTTAGGGTTTGGGGTTTAGTGTTTAGTGTTTAGGGCCTAAACCTTCCACCCTGAACCCTTAAACCCACAAACCCTTAAACCCTTAAGCCCCTAAGCCCCTAAACCCTAAACCCCTTAAGGAGATGTGGGGTCTAGGGCCTAGAGTTCAGGGCTTAGGGACCTTAACCCTAGGGTTTTAGGGTTTAGGGTTTAGGGTTTAGGGCTTTGGGTTTAGGGTTTGGGGTTCAGGGTCTAGAGTTCAGGGCTTAGGGACCTTAACCCTGAGAGTTCGCACGCAGTGCCTGGATATGCGAGTGTGGCACCGGTTTGGGGGATCTGCGCAGGGCTGTGGAATCGAAGATTTTTCTGATCTCAGAAAAAGCTAAACTTTACGCCCTAAAAGCTAAACCCCTAAACCCTTAAAGGCCCGGAGCAAGAAGACCTGAACGGTTTCGAGATCGTAAACCCTGAGCTCCGAACTATACATCTGAAGTCCTGGGGCTACATTCCGGTTTTAAGATGCCCCGTTCAGTTTAGGGCTCAGGGTTTAGGGTGTAGAGTTCAGAATCCCAGACATGAGCCCTACAGAATAAATCACTCCAAGCCCACATCACTCTAAACGCCTAAACCCTAAACCCGAAAAACAACCCAAATGCAATACGTCAAGCATACCCACAAGCGCAAGCCACATACGAACTAACCAAGAATCAAAACAAACGGCGAATGCCCCAAACCCGCTAATCCTTGCACCCTAAGCCCTAAACAGTATACCCTGCTTGGAGAATCCTGGGACTTAGTTAAAAAAGGTTATAAGTACCCTAATTGGGG